TTCACGACACAGATGAGAAGCAACCAAACACAAAAAAAGAAACAACACAGGGGCGCTACCGCAACACAGTGAAAGAAACCGGGTTCAAATTCGAGGAAATTCACCAGGTCAAATAAGCAGTACGTAAATGCAGCTTTATTTCTCACAACTCCCCACTGTTTCTTATTAAACGCGCACCCCCATAGAAGATAAGCAGCAAAGAAAAAAGACAAAAGAAAAAAGCAATAAATCTCTATAAACAGAAAACAAAACAAATGCACAGGCATCGGTATTAAACAAAACTGGAATAATATCATATCACAGCAACCCATTTTTAAAGTATCACCAGTAAATAACTATTTACAGATATTTTTTCCTTTTTTGTCTATTGTCAACCGACAGTCAAGATCAATGCAAAAATCCAGGGATTCCACTTCTAATACAAGACCTAGTAGCCGGGTATTCAACAGCACCAATGAAAACACCGTAATATGGAAGAAAAAGGGCGGAAAGGGAAACGAATCTCCTTCCGCCCATCAGCGGCTCGTTTAAAACAACAGTGATGCAATTCTGACTTAAGCTCACTTCGCTTCCGTCCACCAAGAAGTGTTGTTAGTCGTTTCAGTAATAATAAATCTTCCTCGAATTGCTTGTAAGCGCGAAAGAGCAAGACGCCCGACAGATTTCGAGATCTTCCACATCATCATCTTTCTGCGCTCCAAATCTCCCACTCCGTCCACTTAGCCAGCAATTCCTTCCTCATGCCGAGGTCGCTCGCCTTCGTAACAATTCCTTCCATTTTCTTTAAAAAGCACTTACAGCGGACCTGTATAATTCACTTCACGTGCTATGTCCACAGTGCTTTCCAATAAAGCATCACGAAGACGCCAAAGAGCCCTCACAACATCTTCTTCCCTTGTGCCGCCCTCTTTCGCCTCCTGAAACATCTGCATTTAAGAAACCACAAAGTAAATCCTGCACCCAAATGCCCCTCAAATGAGAGAGCTATTGACAGCCACGGTAGCGGATGGGTGCTGCTAGTACTTGCCACCAAGCAGGCTACTTGCCGAGTACATTAGCCTTCACAGAGAGCGAATATGGAACGGTTTTTAATTTGTGAAAAAGTAAAGAATTGATTTTGCCAGATTATTTCAGAAGCCAATAACGGGGGCAGAGGCTAGCAGAGTCAAGTGGGCTTGAAAACTGCCAACGCGCTGCACAGTGGTATTAACACGACAGCTTTGTTGAAAAGACATGTGAAGATCTTTCAGACCGACAATCAGAAACATTTCGAGGAGAAAACACAAAAAACGAAAGGTTTTTCTTAAAGCAAAATAAGTTTAAAAGAGTGACGAGTTGACTCACTTTCAACCATTGTGTTGGGAG